ATATGCATTATGTTATAAGAATAAAATTAATTAAAATAATGTCGCGTAAAATTTTATTTAAATGACTTGAGGCAATCAAAAATAGATAAATTGCAAATGACATGATACATCAAATCTACTTAAAAATTTTCTTGTTAGAAAAGCTATTTGAAATTTCATATGATAATTAATTAGTTTATAACTTTATTTGATATTCCCTCCAAACCAAAATATAATGTATTGTTAACCAATTCAGACTAAATACTTTATAAATAAAGTAGGAATATAATTAAAAAATAATTTTGAAACTTATTTAATACACTCAATTTTGAATCAAATAAAATTTTTAAAAGATTTTCTTTATTTAATCCGGCGGGAGTACTTAATATTTTCTATAATCACTTTTGCTCCACCGAAATGTGAAATCCAAACATTGAAATCCCAGTATGCCTAAACTCTACTTGAGACGCGGGTCATGAACCAGAGCGAGGATCCGAATTTGTGAGTCTTGAAGTCCCTTTTGGCCGCTTTATTTTCTTTTCCCAAGCATCTTCTGAGTCGTCTTCACCTCCAATTCTTACCCCAGTCACAATCTCAATCCCAATCCCAACTCTTTAAATTAGATCTCAGCTTGAACGCGCACCTACTTCTTTCATAGTGGTGTTCTTTCCCCTAACCTTTGGCTTCCCATGCTGTTTTCTTTCTTCATCTGTGAACCTCGTAAGCTTTCTTGAGGTCATACTCTCTCTCTCTCTCTCAATTTCGTTTTGCCCCTTACCATATTCATTGTAATTCTTATTTCTTGATATAACTCATTCTATCCCCGTTTGCGTTTACATTTTCCTCTATCTCAATTTTGATTGAGCATTCGTGTGATCCATGCATAATGAAGGGACGTCCAATGCAAGTTTAACTCAGTAACTCTAACCAGAACGACACTTTTATGAATGAAAACCTTTTTATTGTGATCTATTGACCTGCCTGTTCTACCGGCAGGATGTTGCTCCTCGCTTATATGCCCTGTATCTCCAGCACTTCAGAAGAAATGTGTTCAAATATACCTGATCATCGCTGTTCTCTTGATTTTTGCGGGGCAGTTTCATAGTCCGTTTTATGGGTATTGTTGTCTTTTACCTACTTCCTTGTCACTAAAGCTTCATGGACTTATTTACGGGATTGTGTGTGTTCAACAAATTAACCAAAAAAAAAAAAATTGAGTACTAAACATGAATATCAAGTGTAAAATAAGCTGTTTATAATAAATGACAAATGAAATTATAAAACAAACTAAAATTAGACTTTCTAATTCAAATTCAATATTTATCTTCTTTGTTATTCATATGATAACTTCCTCTAGAAGCTCTTAAATCTTTGGAATTTGTTTCTTCATGTTTTCAAACATATTGATGTAATTCACAATGTTTTAAAATGTACTGAACAAATAAAAGCCATCAATATTCATGTAAAGGTATGTTATGTTTTGTATCTTGTTCATCCTACCTTCTATTTTTCAGATATTGGTAGCCCCCTTTTCTGATGTATTGGTGCTTCCTGTATGACTAGGGCAAGAACTATCGACTGACTAAATATTTGGCTTGGGATGGTTTATATAACACAACAGAGAATAAAATAAATCCTACAGAATAGGCTTCTCGATCATCCTAGCTGTCATTTTCCTTGGAACATCAAAGAAACTAAAGCGGGCTTGAGCTTATTTATTAATTGGTTTCTGGAGAGTAGCAAGTGACCTCATATTTTGCTTGACAATCAGAAGTCCCAGCAATCAGTCTATTTTTGGGAATTTGGGTTCTTACTGGTGGTGCAACACAGATGAAAATTAAGGGAAAACAATAAAGAACAAACAGTAAAGTTTATTTTTGGTTTTCCTTCTAAACCCTATTTTCATTTCTTTTTATGGTTTCAAATTCTCAAGTTTTATATTTCACTGGTGTTTTTCATCTGGAGTCTCAAGCTGCAAGGAGGCATGGCTACATATATAGAGATAAATAAAAGCTTCAATTGGACAGATTTTATCTTTATTTCTTCCAAAGCAAAGCCATTGGAGGCTGATCCTAGATTTGAGGCATAAAGTTTTTTCGTTTTTGGGTCAATCTGATGCATAATTGAAAAGGAGCCTTTTAGACAGAAAATGAAGAACTTTTTAGTAACTAGATCCATAAGTACTTGATAATCATTGATTGTAATACTATGTCGGATTTCCTTTTGTTTTTAGATTATTGTGAATGATAATTTGTTTTGCTTCTGCTGTAGGAGGATGATGGATCGCCAATCTAGCCAAGGACTTGATTCAAATGAAAGTGTCTTTCCCGTGCAAGCAGAAATTAGTGAAAAAACTAACACAGTAGAGAAGCTCTCACAAAACTTAGACTTCTTTTCAGGTGAAGATGGACAATCTGGTACAGATTCTTTGGAAACTGCTGAAACTTCAGAACCATTTGTAGGCATGGAGTTCAATTCAAGAGATGAAGCCAGAGAATTCTACATTGCCTACGGCAGGCAGATAGGTTTTACTGTGCGAATACATCACAATCGTCGTTCAAAGAGTAAATAATCAAGTTATTGGTCAAGATTTTGTATGCTCGAGAGAAGGTTTTCGTGCAAAAAAGTATGTATATAGAAAAGAGAGAGTGCTTCCTCCTCCCCCACTCACAAGAGAAGGTTGTCAGGCTATGATAAGGTTGGCTTTTCGGAATGGAGGGAGGTGGGTTGTTACCAAATTTGTGAAGGACCATTGTCATAAACTGATGAGCCCTAGCAAAGTTCCATTGAGAGGACCTGGAAAGCACTTGGTTAGTGAGGTAAGTCTCTGGTCAAAGAACACTACATATGACTAGGTGGTTGGTACTTTATGCATCAAATTTCAACGTGCTGCCCAGACATTATGCTGTTGTTGGCTATGGCTCAAAAGAGAAAAAGAAAACGGGAAAAGGGGGGAAAAAAAAGGTGTGGTTATGAAGCACTTGTAAGTTACAACAAAACAAGCTTTATCTCATTAGGTAGGGTTGACTACATAGATTGCACTACACCATTATACTATATCATTTATCAAGCTTTTAGGAATGTTGTTAATTAAGAAGTCTCGATTAACAATTTCCATAAGTATTTTTTTTGGCTTTCCTCTATCTTTCTTTATAAGATTCAAAATTATCCGTTCCACTTTCCTCATAGGTACCTCCTGCGATCTTCTCTGTATATGTCTAAATTATCTCAAAGTATTTTATGTCATTTTCTCCTCAATAAATGCTACGTCTATTTTTTCTCGTATATATTCATTTTGAACTTTATCTTTACATGTATGCCTATACATTCATCTCAACATTCTCATTTTTGCTACTTTAACTTCATGCTCCTGTTGCCATTTTAAAAGCCCAACAAGTTTCATAAATGTTTTTTTTTTTTTTGCCTTCTTCTATTTTTCTTTATAGTGCTCAAAATTATATCCGTTCCACTTTCCTCATAGGTACTTCCCGCGATCTTCTCTGTATATGTCGAAATCATCTCAAATTATTTTATACCATTTTTTTCCTCAATAGATGTTACATTTATTTTTTCTTGTATATACTCATTTTGAATTTTATCTTTATGTGCATACCCATACATTCATCTCAACATTTTCATTTCTGCTATTCCAACTTTATACTCCTAATGCATTTTAAAGCCCAACATTTATTTCCATATAATATAGCTAGTCTTATAATAGTTTAATAAAATTTTTCTTTAAGTTTATCAGGTACCATTCAATCACAAATAACTTTTTTTTTCTCTTTTTTTCAATTAAACCATTGAACTTGTATCTCATGTAACATCTCCATCAATTTCCCTATCATGTTGAATAATAGTTCTCAAATATTTAAACTTTTTTACTTGAGATATAATTGAAGTACTTGGAAGCTAATTTAAGTAAATTAGATTGGGCAATTGGAGCTTGAGATTGACTTCTTTTACCTCCTTGAAGAACATTGCAGTTGCATAAACCCTCTTTTCTTAAGGCTTATGTGATGCAATACACTACGGATAATATAGAATTGGATGCTTATGCATTGAGAACGAAGTCTCACACTAAGCGGGTTGCCTATACTGGGTCGGATACTTTAATTTATGTCTAGTAATCATTTATAGCTGGTGTTTAATGTCCACTTCCTGTTTGTTTCATTATTGCTGTGGTGACCCAAAATTTTACAAGGGATTGTGCAGTCATTGAAACTTTTAACATTTATTTGCAGGATGAGAAAGATAAGAGAATCTGTGAACTCTCTCTCGAGTTGTACAATGAAAGGCAAAAGTGCAAGAGACGGTGTGCTGCATATGAAGAACAGCTAAATATGATTCTGAACGATTTGGAAAGGCACACCGAAAACATGTCCAAAATGATTGCTTGTATAGTCAACAGTATAACAGAGATTTAGGAGGAGAAATCAGATTTAAATGGCTGCTACGAAGTGCCATGTCTAGCATATTAATCATCAATACCAATCTCCATAACCGATTTGTCATTTGAAGGATTTGAACCTTATTCGATCTGCATTACGTTGTCAAATGGCTTGAAGTTAGCAAAGGTGTTTACATTGTAATCAGGCTGCTTATAATTTCTAGGATTAATCCATTTCCTGTTTAATATTCCTGCAGAAAAGCTTTCCTTTCGTGCCTTGTGAAAAAGGTGGCCTGCTGTATGTTCCTTCATTGAACTTGACCTTTTCAAGCCCCACATTTTAAGCGTTTCCAATGAGAAATGTTTGCAGGCAAATAGTGTGCTTGGAGCGCTAAGTTAGATATTCACATTCTAGATTTTTAAAATAAAAATAAGTTTGTAAATTTGATTAATTGTTTACAAAATACCCTGTAATCGTCTCTCTTTTGTTAGCACTGGCAAAATATCCTATAATCAAGCGTTGTGATGTTTTTCCTTTTTCCCCTACGAGCGTGATCAATTTTTTTTTTGGTTTTTTTTTTTTTGGGTCTTTTGTGCAGTATCTATGCAGTAAAGATTTGGATCTAGCAGGTGGCGTCTAAGTTTACTTATTCAAGGAAACCTTACTGCTGACATCCAAATTCACATATCAGTACAGCGGCTAGTTATGGCTAGTCCAATCGCAGCTTTGATCCTGCAGCACACAACACTAGAGAACCAGAAAAGATGGCATTGAGAATAGCAGCAATCATGCAGACAGACCACATTCTGGAGAACAAGCGTCCTCATTCGAGCTTTTCCATTTGCAATGCATTCAAAACACAAGTCAATCAAAAAGCACGTTTCAAAGTTCATCCTGCAAGACCAGGGACATGCATATTCATAAGTTTCTAATCACATATCGCAAATTAAAGGAACATAATTGAAACGTAGAAGTTTTTTTATTTGTGCTCATTGTCTGCTCAGATGTCAGAAAATGCATCAATAAAGTTATCTAATATCACTATAGTTTCCATCACTTCATATTTTACCACTTTGTAATCCAAAACAACACTAACAGCAATACCAAAGATCTATTCTAGGTTTTGCATGTTTGATAAGTAAACAAGATTTTTTTTTTTTTAATGGCAACTAGGTATGGACTCAAATACCCGCTCCATCCCGGGTCAACTAGCAATGTCAATTCTTAGCAATAAGATTCATATTTCAATATGGAAACTACGCAAAGCAATAAAGCTTCTGGCTTACATGGTAATCATCCATGTAATCATGGGGATCCGGCTGCAAAACACAGTTCCAAAGTAAGATCAAATGTCGGGAAGTAAGATGTGATACAAAGCTAATTAATATCTTGGCTAACATGTGATCATGAAAGTATTTACTATACTGGCTAAATGATAAAATGAAACTACCATATAAATCAAATAGCTAGAACAGATGAGCAAGCTCCCAAGTCTCAAGACAACCTTTCACAATTTTGTTGATATTTGTCAACCACAGATCTTCCAAATTTTCTCAAATACTTAACTACTGCTATAGGTTTCGCCATTTCCTCTTTACCCCGCCTAGCATTGTCTACCCTCTACTTGAAGGATTAGAGTATTTAAACACAATGAGCAAATAAATACAAGTTAATCATCCTCCTAAATCTCTCCTCGCAAACATATCTGGAAAAATATAAGGACCAACAGCGTGAATTCCACCTTATTAGTTGTACGCTATCTTGGTGACTATGGTAATTCTTATCACACAAGATTCAAGTACAAATTTAACATCGTACAACAAAGTTGACATACTAAATTAGAGTGAGCTCCTCACACTTATATTGATTTGAGATAAACCATACTATTCATGGTTTGTGAATAGTATGGCTCCACACTCTATATCTTATATTGAATATTGATGCTTAAATGCGCCCAAGGATAAAGCAATGAAGAACAATTATGATACAGTGTACCCTTCTATGACGCCGTCTATCTCCATATCTACGATTTCTCTCCCTTCTCCTCTTTTCACCTTCCTCTCGAGCTCTCTGAGCCTCCTATGTAATCATTAAAGATCAAATGGTTACCATAAGTAAAATAAATTTAGTGAATGCTCAGATCATAGCGCTCAAGCATGAGCTTTGGTCAACAACCTCTTCTTCCCCAGCTCTTCTTTCCTTTTCTGCTTCTTCAAAGGCTTCTTTTTCTGCCTGTAATTGTACACATATTAAGAATACTAAAACCACATCTCTAAAATAGTAACAAATACAAACTCCGAAAGAAAAGGCTTACCTCTCTATTGTTAGCCATAAAATTTTCCACAACCTGTCTAGCATACTGCGGGTCATCACAGATTAAGATATTGTCGAAGACTGAACCAGCTTTAACCTGAAAATTCAAATTATCAACATTATCAGGCTTCGAATAGACAAACATAGCTAACTATTCAAGTTTTACTTCAGGTTCTGACCATTTGTGAGACAATGGTTTACTGCTATTATGCAACTTGAGAATCTGATCTACATTCGACTATTTTTCTTTGCATTTGGGAGACAAAAAAGGAAAGACATTACACCAACCTGCCACACTTCAATGCCCACATACTTGATTGGTTTCAACACATAAAGATCAGGATCATCCTCAAATTCTGCAGTAAAAGGGAAACCGAAGCTAGATTCATAAATTGGAGCTGTAGCTCAGGATGATTGATGAATTGGGAAGACAAAAGACGATGGCAAAACTAAATGCTGCCAATAAGTTTTTGGCATTTCTCGAAGATTCACATAGTTCACAGTTCACACATATAAACTAGACTTCACTAGAAGTTGAGCATCAGAATTATATATAAGATTACCTATAGTCTAGTAAATGTAAAGGAAGTCACAGGAGTGTCACCACCAAAAATATCTGATTTGCTTGTAAGATCAAATTATGATCTAAATTATCTGGCTACCATAAAAAATTAGTAAAACTACAAAGGAACCATTTTATAAACTAACTTCATGTCTAATCCGACTCCCCTAATCCCACAGCATTTGGAAAGACTTCTTAACTATAATATATTTGAGTCAATGAATATAGTTAACACGTGGTAAATTGGCTACTTTGTGCATGTTTAAATTACTATATAATGCCTCAGATGCATAAGAGCTTAGCCACTTTTCTTTATTACCCATTTTCTTAGCCACTTTTCTTTATTACCCATTTAATTCTTTAATGCTTAGTTAGGCTAATGTCAATTTTTTCTCTACTTTCAGTTTAACTGATATCACCCCAAGTCTACCTGGGTTATCAATCCATGGAATCTTCCACTTTCCCTTGTAGTTGGGGTTCTTGATTTTCTGCGCCACACAAATTTTAAAAGAAAAATTAGAAATCATGTTCCAAGAGGATGCATAAAAGTTTAACATGAGAAGCTTAAAGTACCTTGCGTTTCCAAGGTCCTTTGTATGCGGGATTAGGAATTTTGGTGGGCTTCCATATTCCATCGTCTTCCTCATCCCAATCAACTGGCTACTCAAAGAAAAATCAAAACCAGAAATAAAAGCAAATATCATTCATAAGGCCTCCAATATAATATTGCTATTGCTGCTAATATGATCCTACTATAATCAACTTTTTTAAATTGTGTATGAGCATGAAATAAACCTTCTTGGCTTTTGGATCAGGAATTTCAGCTGGAATGGAATCATATCCCTGTGATAGTAAAAAAACACACAAACAAGAAATAAATCAATGGCAGAAAGCTAGACAAATAAAAGTACTTAATTTGCAATCTTTCTACCCCTATTTGGGTCATATTGCTTTGTTTGGTTGAATTGATATCTTGCATCAAAATTTGATTAGTTCTTAGAACACACTCCCTTATCTCATTCAAAGTAAACTTGTTATTAAGGCGATAATCAAACATCTTTAGCTTACTTGGAATAACTGTGTGCACTTGATTTGACCATATTGATACAAGATTTCAGTGCCAAACAAGTCTCTTCACCCCTCCAATAAGGGATTCTCATCCCTTGTTATACAGCTCTATGGGCCATTAGCCTTGACTCAATGGTTGAGGCCCATCTTGCTACGGCTACAAATGTTGTTCTTTGGTGTGCTTGGCAAGAAAGGAAAGCTAATATATTAAAATGTCCTTCCCAGTTATTAGATTTGTTGGTAAAATAGGATCGTATTTAAGGCCTTATATTGATAATCTTGTTTGTTTCAACTTCGCCTTCTTACATATCTCTCTTAAGGAGGATAACTTCCCCATCACTTTAATGATCCTTTCTTGCCCATGATAGTTATTTCTCAGAATTCAGGAAAACAAATGTAGAACGCAACAAGAAAATTCATATTATAATAGGTGCTAAATGGAATTAAGGTCTCTCCTGTAAATGCATGCACCAGCAATGATGCAGGTGATATGATAATCAAGATGAAAATTACCTTTGGTTTGACATCATTAGGGTCTTCGATGTACTCTCTATCATCCCAATCAGATGGCTACAAAAATGAAAACAAATATTTTTACATGACAGACAGATTGAAAGATAAGATGCATAAAGAGATTCAAACATCTGCAATCAATTAAACAAAAATATCCAAACTTGAGCTAAATTTTCAATGTTTTTTGAATGCATCTGACATACATTCGGTTAGTTTGCCACCCTTGCACTGCACCAAAACCTATTAATCACCCAGAGGTTGTACCTTTTTTGCATTTACATCCTTGATTTTACGTGGAGGAAGGATGTCCCAATCTACGTATATGCTTCCAGAATCTCTTTCTCGATTGTCAACCAGGATACTATAAGAAGCATCAGGCCTCAGAATAAATGTATAGAAATGAGTCAATTTGTCTGTTTCACACTGAAGATCCTTCTTAATAGGGTAATTCTGCCCCTGGTACGAAACTATAACATGGAGCTTCTTAGTCTGTGAGCCACATATATCTGGTCCAAACATAAAACTGCATAAAGCAAGGGCAATCAGCTGACTTAGCACCTCATATAATACAGTACAGTAAGGAGTATGAGATTAACAAGAACATCAGCAAAGGGCAGCAAAATTCAGGTCGGTGTTCAAACATTAAATAACTTGAGTTCCACTTCTACAGGTAAGCATGCAATGCATACATCTTTAAATGCATTAAAAGTAGCCAGCTATAACTATACAGTCACTTCTACAGTCATGAGATTAATATCTCTTTATTCCAGTTTGTCTTTGATGCTACTGGCCCTTCCAAACTTATTCTAACAGGGATAAAATAGATGGGAAATGCACCAGAAAAGCCCATTAAGGATAAAACAGACAAAAGGGGAAATGTAACTACTGTGGCTTTTTGCGGAGAGAGGAGTAATGAATTGTAGGGGGGGGGGATAGGGGTAGTCACCTAGTTGGCCCAGCTGCCCAAGGAGGGAAGTAGAAAAAGTATACATTGTATGTGTGGAGAGACTAGGCTCTCAAGTGCAAGCTACCATTGCCATGTTTTCTTCATTTGTTTAATTTCCTAAGTTAAGAGCTGTAATGCTGCTTATGCTAAGTATGCACTGTGGCATAAGATACTTTAATTCCATTTTTACATTTGGCTTCCAACAATCTTCCAAAATAATGACAAAATCTGCTATACACGCATAGTTTGTGCATTCTAAACTAAGTCTAAAATCACATCGTCATTACCCTGGTAAACAAGTACAATATTGGTATATACACAGGTGGACATTACTACTATAAGAAATAAAAATAAAAATATAGCAGGGTACCATAACTGTTTATCTCCTGAGCCTTCCTACCAGCCATATTAAAAGAAATAAATAAACGAGAGGACAGGGGGTACGACAGGGAGGGGTGGGGGGAATGTAAAAGAAACAGGATGTGCATAGTTCAATCAATGTGATTGTCAACAACAATGAAATATTGAGCTAACTTACGCATATCCTTCAAAATCAATTTTGTTACAGATTGAAGAATTTCAAGTTGTAAACTAAGAACCAATAAAAAGACGTGACATAAGAAAACGGCAGACCTATAAGGAGCATCACCACCAAATTTCTTCTGATTGACATAACCAGAAAGAAGTTTCAAGTAACCACCACCACATTCAATGTCCTGCTCAAATTTAATAGAATACTGGACCACTAGAGTTCTGTTCTTGTTGCTGAACTCTGGTATCTTTGCGGATATTGCAAAATGCTTGGCATCACTAAATGTCTGGATACCTGCAAGCATTACAGGATGAATAAGATCAACCATAAATAACAATCAGGGGAAGACCAATATACAAGGTTACATGTGCAAAGAACTTATTAAGAACGTAAATCTTTTTCCTTGTTCCTTTTCCATGCACCAAAACGTCCAGAATTTGAAACTCCAATGCTACATTGCATTAATCCGTATAATTTTATGCAGTTGAGTAAGAACTTTATAGATGACAATGGATTGATACCTTTATCATCGGGATCTCCAGACCACTTTCCTGCCGTATGCTTGAAGGTGCCTGCCTTTCCTTCACTCCTCTTCCAGTCGGATAAAACCCAACGGCCCTCCCAGCCACCTTTTTTTTTTTTGAGAGTGAAAATAACCAGTTAGAAAAGAAGCGTCCTTTGTTGAATCAAGAAAACCAACTGAGGATAGCAAACATAACAGATAGATGTAGAGAGAATGCAAGATCATTGATAGTTGCTACAAACTAAAGCCACTGAGCAGGGAATTTAGTTTTATTGATATTTTGTTGTCAAACACAAAAACAGATACAACAGCATCCGATTGACAATACTGAGAGCAGAATGAAAAATGAAAGGCACAAAGTCGAGCACAAGTGAACACAAACAGGTACAGAATGTAATCGGAGAACTTCCAGCTACGGCTGATAAGGTCATATTCATCGAAACACCAGATTCAGGATTCTAAATTCGCATGGATCAGTTAGACAGCTAAACTATGGCTAAATAAAAGATGCAATATAAAGGCTAAATTTTCGATGAGTAAATCAGACGACCAAGTAACAACCAAAAAAGACGGGTTTGGACAGATATGAACTGGGATCTACTATTCAGATGGTTTACATTTTGTACGCAAACAAAGAGCCAGAGAGAAGCTAGTCAAAGGGAGTTTGGACGATCACCTTGGAATGTCTCCTCAAAAAATATCTCAGAGTAGGCAGAATCAAAGAGGAAGGAAGAGTGCAAAGCTAAAAGTAAAAGAAAGGGGAGCCCAGGCTTAAGATTAGACATCTCATTTCTTTGATTCTTTCCTTCTTCAATCTTCAGGAAGCAGCGGCAGAAGACAGTGCACGGAAAAGTTGCTTTAAATAAGACGTTTCATTGGAAAATTAAAATGTCAAAAGAGAAACATATTTATTCAATAAATAGCACTTTCTAGAACATCGGGTTACGGACGAATGGCACCAGACCACAAATAAGATCAGTAGGGTTAGCACACTTAATCAGGGAATTGGCTTCCCAACAATTTCTTTTTTTTTTTTTTCCTCTTCACGTGCTATCTTAACTTTTGATAAAATTTTGAATAGTTAAAATATAATAGTATTTTATAAAATTATTATTAAAATGTGAAGTTATAAATTTAAATTGTAACTTAAAGTGTATTTGATTTTTAATTTATTAAAAATTTATTTAATAAAAATTAATTTAATAAAAGTCAATAATAAAATTTGTGTTTAGATATATTTTTTAAAAAATTAATTTAATAAATTAAAATTTATTTAAATTATAATAGTAAAATATACTTTTAAATATACAATTATAAAAAAATTAATTTATGATTATTTATAATTTTTATTATACAAATTTTTGGAAATATTTAAAAAATATGATAAAGATTTTAAATAACATAAAATTTGATTTATAATTCTAAAAACTTCATCTCTAATTATTTAAATTTGATATATAATATTAAAAATTGATCTCCAATTATTTATACTTTTTTAATTTATAATTTTAAAAATGTGATAAAGATTTATAATTTTTATTATACATTAATGTTACAATTAATATGATTAATTATTTAATTTATAATATTAAAAATTTAATATCTAATTATTATTATTTAAATAATAATTATATTTTAATAAATTAATTATTTTTTAAATAAAAGAATAAGAGAGTAAAATAACATCCACATCTTAAATTCATATTTAAAATCTACCAAAAAGTAAAGTTTCAAAATCTATATTTCAAATTCATTTCAACTCACTTTTTAAAAATTATTTTACTCTCTAAAAACTTATTCAAATAACTTTTAATATTTTAAAAGTTTAAAAATTAATCTCAAACATCAAACGAGAGAAAATCAAATGCACCCTTATACATTAGCTTGCAACTGCAAGCTACTGTTTCAGGGATGGGGTTGGAGGAAGGCCCGTAAACTCTCGTCTCTTCTGAAGCATCACCTTGGCAAATTGAGTTGGCATTATTATCTATTTATCATTTTATCTTAGCTACTTCACCCTAAAAAATAAGCACCTTTTAAACGGATCTACATTCATACATATTTTCTTTATTCAAAAATATAAAATATTTTTTAAAAAATTAGATGTTTAAAATTATAAAATATTTTTAATCTTTTGAAATGTAATCATTATTTTTTTAAAAGTACATTTATTGATGATAACTTTATATTTATTATTGGGTGTTTAATAGGAGTACATATAAAAAGATAAGGTTAGTTAGAAAATAGGTAACTACTTTATTTAAAGTGAAATTTAATTAAAAATATCTTATAATTTTTAACAATAAAAGTATTAAATTATATAAATGATAAGCATTAATTACTTATTAATCAAATCTCAGGGATAGCGTGGAGACTCGAAAGTCATTTTTCATTTTCTTATCGTCATGGGTCTCCATGATCATCATTTATGTGCTGTGCCCAATGTCGAAAGAAGAGAAAGGGAAACAAACGCTCCCCCCCATAAATGAGGGGCATGCAATTTAAAAAAAATAATATAATTATTTCTTTTAACAATCAACATTTACTCTCTGCAATTTTGGAAGACTTTTTTGACCTAACTTTAGCCATTAAAAAGGATGATATCCATCCATTAAATTCAAAAGTTGCTTCTTACGCAAATTATATAATGATTTATTTAATAACAATTATTGATCGTTAGTAATAACTTATTATTAGTATTACCATAATCCCTCAGCCTTACACTGCACGTGCTATGTCAGTTATCTTACGGCAACATATTGATTTCTGCTATATCAGTCGAGATTTTCATGGCTTTTTGTATGAATACAGTTCGTACATATCAATGAAAAACTGCTGTTCGGAGGGTTCCCCCCCCCCCCCTCTAAATTCATACCATGGAAATCTTTCCTTCACTCAACTTTTATTACAAAATGACCGGATACTATCTAGCATGATGAGACATTCATTATATTTTTAGTTAAAATTATGGAGATTGAGTATTGATGGGGAGTCGATTGGTGAGCATGTGTGAGGAGGAAGGAAAGAATTAGGGAGTCGTATTTTAAATGAATGCTGGAGAAGTAGAAATCGATCGGGTCGGTTAATAAAGATTAAAAAAAAAAAGGTAGAAGCCCCTTGCCAGTCGTCGATTCTGATCTCTTGCCCATGATCTGCTCAAAAGCAAAAGAACAAACCTTTAACCTTCTCCCCTACGATCTCCATGAGTCTGTCATTTGTGGGTCTCATCGTCGATCTTCTCATCCCTCTGAGAGTTTTGTAGGCAACTCTGCTTCACCACCAACTCTGCCATTGTTGTCCATCGCTCACCATCATCTTTTTCTTGTGCTGGTGGAGCTGTTCTCGCGAGAGGGAGGCTGAACCACATGAGAGATAAAGAAGGAAATTAAAAAATGAAATGGCTACTACTAATCAAATTTCAAACCAACAGATTCATTGAAGGCGTTAGTATTGTCATCTCATCCTATCTCCCCACACACGTTTCCTCTTCCTTTCCTTTTTTTTTTTTTTTCATTGAACCGTACACGTTTTGTTTGCTTGTCACTATTCACACACCTCACATTTCCAATTTTTGGTTAATTGAACTTATATATTTGTTATTTTTTTAAACCTGTAAATTTTTATTTTCATTTCTTTTTAATTCGATGTTTATATTTTATTATTATTTTTGTCAATTTAATTTTATTTACATGTGAAATTTTTTTAACTATTATTAAAATTATTTTTACATGTCATATAAATTATTTAATATTGAATATTAATAAATGTATTGACAATTAATGAATATTTATTTATATTATTTTATTTTATTATTTTGATGGAACTTCAATTTAACTCTCAATTGAATCCTTAATCCTTATGGTTTTCAGGACATTAATAAGCAAATAAAATCAAGCTTCTCATTATTAAAAAAAAAAAATCATGCCAAATCGTACACTTTCAACCAACAACAGTAATTATCAACTAACAATCAAGTCTCCACATAGTGCAAATTTACTGCTCAGCTGCACTCCACATAATCCAAGGTTGATTAGACTAACATATACAGGATAACTAACCACTATTCCTTAAAAGCGAATGAAACGCACTAACAGATTCAACTGAGAACATCAGTGAAACTCAGTGCCCTTAATAAATCTTATTTCCTAAATTCAACTGACGATTACCATGACGAATACTCCCTACTCGTACAATAAAGATGGAGCCCACTAAAAGAACCAAAAACAGGAAAACCAATAATAATAACAACAACAATAACGAACGCTAATTCAACTTGATGATTCTCAACACTTATTTGATTGTTTCTTCTTCCCGTTTCCCTGTTTCTTTGAAAAAAAAATAAATAAATAAAAGTCGGGTCAACTAGATAGATTAACACTTTACTCCTCACACGAGGGTGGGAATATTATTGGTGTGCCCCTGGAGGCAGAAAATATGGAAAGACAAGCCGGAACGAGATGAATGAACGTTGCGCATCATGATTGCGTCGGGAGGTTTGTTCTTGGAAGAATGGAGTTGGCTAACTCTTCATTCACCTTTATGGGTAGAGGTGGCATTTGCTTCATCACCTCTGGCAAGTCATTCAAGCTGCCACCACAAAATAAAATAAAATTAAAAAAAAAAAAACAGAGAGGAGAAGTGCTTTTAATTAGTAAGCAGCGTGAGAATAAGCAACGTGGTTAATCAGCAACGCATGTAAATTAACCATCTGTTTCTAATACATGCCAAATTGTCCTAACTTCACAAGAAAGACAAGACCAATTGACCAAATAATTTTTTCCATTTCAAAGAAGCCGTCTACTTTTTTGCATGAACTTCAGCCCATGCACTCAAAAAAAGGATTCCCAGACCCAAAGACCGTTATTCAGATGAGATAAAACTATTGGGTGGTTTTCAGCCACAATTAGATCTTTTAAATTATGGACTAAAATCAAAGAATGCCAGAAACTGTTAAAAGAACTCTTAATCTTTGGAGGACAAAAAACATTACTACACATTACCATCAGTCTTCTGTCTCAGATTAACGATTATATTTCATAGTTAACTGGGCTGTTTGCCTGAAACTTTCAAGTTTCAGCTCTGCTGTCTGCCAACATTCTGCCGATGTCTTAAGTGAAAGCATTAAAAATTAAGATTATAAGAGACCGAACTTAAATGCCATGCAGGCTGCTGCTGATTCTTGATATCTCACGTACACGTTAAGAAGCAATTAAATTTTTTTACTCTTCCGATTGATTAACAAATCTGACGGAGACTATATAAGCAATATTCTTTCCAAAATTAGTTTCCTATTAGTGAAGGACTTGCTGACCTTCAGATGCCAGAATGCAAAAAAGAGCAATGCATAAATCAATCTTCATAAAATTTGAAACAAATGAACAGTGGTTATATTGAAAATGCAAGAGAAACAGTAAAGGAACTTACTCGTTCATAATTTTAAGAATGTTATTTCTTGTTTGGCAGAATAGATTAATGTTCTCCTGTATCTGGAAACGAAATGGAGAGAACAGGGAAAAAAATTACATCAGCTTTAGAGCCACCAATAATGCTCCTATAAATTCAATTGAAAATGATACTAATAAGACTAGAAAACAACTGTCTGGCATCAAATTTTCAATATGACAGCCACAGGAGACATTATGAAACATCCCAGCCTGCCAGCATATCGCTTGCTGTAGGTATACCCTTATCAGGTCCATATCAAAGTGCCTTTTGGTAAGAAAATGCATTAGTTTTCTAAAATTATTAAAAAAAAAAAAAGGTATTGTTATGGAATATACCTCGCTGTACCCATATCTTAAATTTATCAAAATTTACCCGGTTCATTATGCAGTTTTCAATACCATATGCTTACCTCTTTCAGTACTACACAAGGTCCTTACAGCAGTTTCACAGCCTCCTAAAAATACAACGATGCCCTTGTTGACTAAAATTCCATGCCATGCGAGACGAAAGCATGAAGGGGAAACAGTCAAACAACTTCTATAAAATTAGAAATAACCAGATGATTGTGACGGAGTACTGATTAATGTGGGATAATGGGTGATTTGGGAAGCTAGATAAATATTATTTTTAACTTATTTTAGATATTTTTTATTTAATAATATTGTTCAGATTTTATTTAGATATTTATTTGTCTAAATTTTTATTTAGATATTATTCAAATATCTAATTATTTAGATTTTATTCAGATATTTAGTTCTTTATATTTTATTTAGTATTTTATCCAGATATAGATTCTAAGAGATTTCATTCAATTTTTATTTAACTATCTAGTTATCTAGATTTACTCAGCATTTTGGATTGTATTTAATATTATAAATATGCTAAACAACTTAGAAGCTAACATATCATAAATAAAATAGACTTTTGAGACTTTAAGTCCTTTAGAGATTCTCTTGAGCATGGCTATTAAGAAAACTATAGACCAAAATTCTGGTTCTACATTATTTTAATAAATTACTCTCCTTACTTTTTCTATCAATTCTATGTTCTCTTATTAACATATGTAGTAAGATTTTAATTTCTTATTTTAATAAAGATTTATTTTCCTTACTCCTCTTTACTATTTTGATTTGATATTAGAGCCATTTGATCCATGGTACCCACCCATTCTGCAAGCCTTCTTCACAAACCCATACTTTCACGACCCATCCCAACCTATTATCATCCATCTTCTAGAACAACTTTTCCCCGATATGATAGTAGAGATCCATAGCCATGGATTTTAAAGGCCAAAGATTATTTTCAATATTATCACACTTTTGAAGACCTCAAAGTCAATATTGCGTTGAGGTAGTTAGAGAGAGAAGCTCATGATTTCTTCACTTCCATTAACAAGCATACAATCCTCTATTAGGATGAATTAGTAGAGGTGTTACTTGAAAATTATACAACAACAAGCCTTTATCCCACTAGGTGGGGTCGGCTACATGGATTGCAAGACGCCATTGTGCTCTATCATTTATCAAGCTTTTAGAAATATTATTACTTGAAAATTATAGCCTTGCAAAATTCCAAAACCAGATGAGTATCTCTACAGCATCAAAGAAGAGGAGTGATCAAGAATATCACTTAGATTTTGCCAGGCGCTCTGCACAAGTTAAAAATGGCCAAAACATGTCTCTTTGGTGTCTACATCATGCCAAGAAGGAGGAGTTAAAATTTACATCTTCAACTTATCAAGAGGGTTTTTTAGGGAATCGGACTCTATTGGAGAGATAAATAAAACTTACATCACTCTTATCCCAAGATTGATCACTCAACCTACATGAAAGATTTCGTCTTATATGTATTTGCATGTAATCTATAAAATTATCACCAGATTCTTTCCAATTGCTTACGTGCATGCATTAACCATTTAATTGGTGATGTGATCATCAACCAATTAAGTAGAGTAGTAATAACAATATCAAACAGGTAATAATATCATAATTGCTCATGAGGTTATCATTACGAGGAATAAAAAAGGTAAAAAAAAGCTTTATGGCACTCAAGATAGCTCTTCAGAAGGCTTTCAACAAACCATCTTGAAATTTCATTGACGATACTCTCAACCTCATCGAGATAAATAGTCATTTCGAAATTAATACAAGCTGCAATCTCCTATACATGTACGAGGAATCCTTTAAATGGGTGAATCATCTCCAAAATTCAAACCTTCTTGTGGAAATCGTTGAGGATCCTCTTTCACCTTATTTTTTTATTTTGTATTGAATATTAAGTCAACATTCTTAATAGCATTGATAAAATGAATGAAAGCCCATTAGACTATTAAATAATAGACATCTTATTTTTCACTTATTTTTTGATGATGATCTGCTGCTTTTTGCAAAGCTTTCTCTTTCTCAAGCAATGATGATTCAATAATGTCTTTCTGACTTTAGTAATGCCTCAAGGCAGAAGATAAA